CTTCCGATCTGGGGGGGGGTTTCAGGCAAGAACAAAGAATTACTTCTGTTATTTGATAATCTATTCACCACTATATTATGAGATAAAAGATTTGACTACTGCCAAGTGTTGCAACCGATGCTTTAGTAAAGCCAATAATATTGACATAAATCACAGCCACCTCCTATTATCCAATTGATATCCTGTGAAAAGGGCTTTGCAAATAAAGTTAGCCCAAATACTACGTTCCAATTTCACATTCCATGTAATCATAATAAGCGAGCAAAGTTTCTATTTAAAACACACAATTCCCTTAAAGCAGCCTATTTTGGGATAATATACCTGTGCACCCTTTCTAAAGTCCTTCATCTCAACTTCAGGTAACATCCGTTCTGAATACCTGCCATTGCCATGAGGACCAGGATCCTTAAAGCTAACAAGAAAAAGAAAAGGTACCATTAGTCGAGGACACCAAATTGATAATATAAACAGAAATCAGAAGAACAACCCACTCTACAAAAAAAAACACACGGCTATGTATATAATATGCAAAGCATGACATACCAGTCGACGAAGCTGATATTTGTATACATCAGATAATCAAAAATATAGTCAAAAGTATACAACGGCACACAGCTGCAAAACCAAAGCAAAAAGATTAAAAACTAAATTAAATATATATAAATAATCTAAATTAATCGGCAATAACAACAGAATTAAAAGCAATATCATGGTCCATTTACCTATCAGAAAGTAAAACAAATTGCTGGTTATCAGGATCTTGTAAAGCATTTGCCAACAGTCGCCGTTCTGCATCAACCATAGATATTTTACCCCACACCACCTGCAATAAGGTGACTAACTATTATCAAAGTTGCTAACTACAATGCAAGTAAACAATAGATTATCAGAAACAACTGACAATTACACTAAGCTACCACAAGAGCTACCTTTAGAACAAAGTTTAACTTCGGAATAATTCAGACTTATTAGGAAAAAAATGTCAAATAATGAAAACAAGATACGTTGTGGCATTCTCAAAAATAGTAAATTCACAGAGGTAAAACTAGACTGGACTTGGTGGCTTATAAGGTTATCCTATACTTCTAACATTATGCAAATAAGTAAACAGACACACTGTAATCTCTTAACAAGAAGTATAGTGTGAAATTGGGGGATTTGGTTACACTGAATAATATTGGCATCTCAGATGATCAGGTTGACACAGTTAACATTATATTCTTAGACATGTGTATTAAATAGTTACAGCATCAGTTAATCTCTCAAGTGATAATAAATCCAAAGGAGATTTTAGTGTCATATATTTGGATGCTCTAAACTATTTGGTTAGAACAAAACATACATGTAAAGAGGGTACAAAATAGGAAATTAAAGAGGAAAAACAAGAAGTTACAACATTGAACAATGATTTAAATAAATACACAAACATATGAGACAAAACAATTGATAGATGACACTAACAAAACCATCAGGAGACTTGTTGCAGACCTGGTAACTATGTAATATGTATATCCCAACTAACAAAATAATATATGGCAGTAAACAGAACAATCATGAGACTAATTACACACCTGATCACTGCGTATATCCCGATTAACAAAATATCGGCTCACATGAACTGGTTTAGTCCTAGATGCATGCACATAAACAGAGAATTTCCCTTCATGTCCCTACCAAAACAAAGAAGAACATTCTTCCAGGTAAGCAAACACTAACATGATTCAGAAGCAAAGGCAATGGAAATCAATCAACAAAATTACAAATACAAAGGTTCATTCTGCCATGCTTGTGTATCAAGAATTTATGAAGAAAAAATATTTCACATTTTGTGCTGTACATTTATACAAAATAATAGTTTAATGTCATGTTTGGACAAACTTCTTCCAAGTATTTATAGAAGAAAATAAGAAGTAAACATGAAATAAGTTTCTTTATAAACTAAAATTAACTTATGCATAAATTAAACAATTAGTTTTTGGAGAAGTTAACATAAGATAACTTCTACAAATTATGTCATTCTTAAGTCAATTTTACCTTATGGAGAAGCCTAAGGCTCAAATACTAAACCTAAATATCAACCCCATTATTTATTGATTTCCGATAGGAATTCATAAGGGAAATAGAGAAAAGAAAAAAAGTGACTTTATTTCTTGAATGAAAAATGAGCATCCAATTAAGTTATAAATCATACAACTAGGTATCTTGCCCCTAAATGCCCAAGCACCAGAAAGACCATTAACAAATTTCAGTCAAAGCACTTGCTCAGCACTCAAATAAGGGTACAATACACCACTACCCTTGTTTATCATTCCAATTCAGTCTCAAGATCCCAACAGAAGGAATAAAATTCCCAAATTATCAAGTCCAAACATCCTGATGCTTCTCATCTTAGCACTTTTAAAAGTCATAAAAGACAAAGGAGTCACGTGTAGTTTAAAAGTCAAGATTATGCTAAATATCAACTGAATTGTTAAGCTCCTACATTCTCAAGGATCATATGCTTTTAGAAGTATCACATATATTTTAAAAAGGAAGTATTAATATAAAATGCAAACAAGAACAAAAGTACATGGTCGAAGAGAATATTTGTTTGTATTATTTTAACCATAGAGGAAAACACATTAGAGTTGGTTTGGATACTGTCTAGAAAGCTTTAGAGAGCTTATCTATTGAAAATAAAGAGTATTTTCTGGGAGAGAAGTTCTTAAAAGTCCTTTTGAGCTGATATCCAAACATACTCCTAATTGATTTAGTATGAGAGAAACAAGAACTTGCACATCCTAACCCTGTTACAAATTAGCCATCATTCCTTGTACAATTGACATGCCAAACTGGCTCAAATATTTGTTTGTACCAGAGAATATTTATAAAAAACAAGATATGTGCATGAGCTGACATAATGCATCAAAATAATCAAATAATAATCATAGTTCCAGATAAAATAAACATGTAAACATTCCTTACTTGGAAAAATTTATCCCACAATTTTTCAAATGGTAGAGAACCAGGAGTCAAAAACATGAAGGCAACTTTTGGATTCTTTGAACGAATTGGTGGTGCATTCAAAATATCTCTAATAACAGCACGTGATGCAATCTCATCATCTGTATATTCCCTTGCAGGAACAGGTGGAAGCCAATCAGCAATTGACTGGCACCTTCCATTTGAGAAGATGTAGCAAGTTGAACTGCTTTTCGGCGGGTAGATATAAGCAAATATTAGAAACACGCACACAAATAAAACCAAGAAAATAATCCACATAGGCTTCTTCATTGGGGGACGATGACGAGACCCAGGCAAGATCTGCACATCGCCCATGCCTGGGCGCCATTCTTTTGCTGTCTTCATCTATGCAAGTGAATTACGGTTTTCACTTCACATCCAACAAATATTCCTTTCATACATATTCAGCACCCCTAAAACACAACAAATAAAGACAAATGACCTACAAGAATTCTTCAATGGACTGATGCAGAAAAATAACACAAAAGGAAGATACATTAGCAAACAACTCAGCCATTCAGATCCACTCAGCTGAAACCAACATGTGGACCCAGACTGATATCCACGGTGCAGGCTATATAAAAGATTCACCACAAAATTGACTGCAATAACTCCTCCAACTTTTGACAGATACATTTTTCAACCCCGCATAATTTATAGTCCAATGAAAATAACCAGGTCACAAATTCCAAACATGAAGTAATAGATGGAAAAATCAAAATATCCTAATATCCATTAGAGATTAGACAATGCTAACTGACTAACCAACAAGTTGTGGGGAAAAGGAAGGAACTGATCTGTGAAAGGTTGAACCCAAAATCAGAAGCCATTGTCTTAAACCAGTTTAAAAAAGAAAAAACATATATTTACATAACCCACACACCCCAATCCGATCCCACAAAGTCCCAGTTCCCCAATGGTTAGAGTGAATACATAAATAGACAACAAAACCCATGATCGACAGAAATTATTAGGTGTCTAGATCACTAAGTATTCATAGTCCCATTCAATCACTATATGACTTTCACTCAAGTTTTTCAATCGACAAGAAAAAATTAATAATACTTAATTCCATGTCATATAAAGACAAATTATGAACCATGCCGTGAAAAACTACCTAATAATTTCTCCATGTTCAGGGTGGAAAAGCGATGCATCTCTAAAAACCAAAATTACACAACAAACTCCATTTCCATTCCACCGCCCCTTTACAGTTTAACCAAATACGACAACAACATCTAGGAATCAGAAAAGGAAACGTCCCAGAGACAAAAACACACGAAGCGTGAAAAGTATTAGAGCATTTATTACCAATCATCATTTTTTTTTAACTAAAACACAAGCAATCAATTCAACCAACGTGTCATTGTTTCCAATTCCAAGGAGCACCACCACTACAACTAACACACAAGTGTCTACCCGAACAAAGACCACTTAAAAATTCAAAAAACACAAAAACACATCCAAAAAAAAAAAAAAAAAGTCATCACCGTTCAACCTCAGAGATTGAAATTGAATTAACCTGCATAACACTACACACTCCCACTTAATTCTTCTCTTTGAAATCCTCCGAGGCAACACGAGAAACAAACCGAAAACAGTTGAAATCCAAAATCCATCTCTCTCCCCCACACGAGTGGCGGCACGTACCTGCGAGGCGAAGAAGACGAAAGATTGGGACGTGAATGGAAGATCTCCGAGAAGAGGAATGGGCGTTGAAGGATCTAACCATGCAGGATCACAGAGAGAAACACGAGAAGAGTAAGAGAGAGAGTTAAAACGCGCGTTTGGTTCTCTCTCTCTCTCTCTCTTTGATGTTGCTGCAAGTGAGTGAGTTTGTGACGGGTTTTTCAAAACGCGAATAGTTTCGGTTCTTTTTTCCCTGCGCTGTGCGTTTCGCTCTCTCTCTCTCTCTAAAAACCGAAGGGGAAGTGGGTGAAGACGACGACGAAGAAACTGCGTTTTGGCTTTGGCTTTTGCGTTGCTCCCATCCGGCGATTCGTCCATCTTGTTATTTTCTAATTTAAGAATATTAAATAAGAACTACTATTTTAATAAATATTCATTTTATGAATAGTAGATTGGAGAAAGGAATTATGGGTAAAGTGAAGACTTGCCTTTGTTGGTCTTCGTAAACTTTTTTATACAAATGAATTTTGTAATGGATAATATTTTAATATAAAATTTATATTTTATTACTTATAATAAATAATTCAAATTGTGATATTAAAATACTTTTAATTATCAATATTTTTTAAAATATTTACAATTTTTGAAATTTAATTTAGAACCAACATTACATGAAGTCGGTAATTTTTGTGTCCATAACTTTTGTTCCATAATCAAGTTGTGATTAAATTATACTTTTTATTCTTTATCTTATTATTTTATATTTATTTTGATATTTTATTTATTAAAATATTCATTTTGTTCATTTTTCTGTTATATTTAAGATTAATTTGATTCTTTTAAAACATGATCATTTTTCAATTTTGTGACACAATTTTAAATAATTTTTTGATTGATCGAAAACATAAAACTTATAACAATAGATTCACTTATATAACACTCTCATCTCATAATTATATTGATTTGATAATTGTTGTTAAAAACTTTGAGATAAGTAGATTCACTTATATATAAAAAAAAATTATGAAATTTAGTTATTATTTGAATCTAAAAGAGTTATAAACATTATAAAAATTATATATAAAATATATTTCACAAGCAACTAAAAAGTAATATGAAATTAGATTTTTTAAATTTTTTTATTGTCTTTTGAACTTATATTTATGAAATTTTCATCATATTTAAAACTCTTTTTGTTTGAACTTTAGTTGTATTTAATAATTTTCATATAAATGAATTTAATGAAACAAGTCTCAAGTATTGAATCAATAAAAAAAAAATTAAAAAATATAAATAATTATCATTTCAAAAAGACTATATTGATCTAAATTTATGAGACAGAGGATTAAAGTGAATATTTTAAAAGATAAAAAAACTAAAATGAATCATTAACATAAATAAAGAATTAAAAATATAATTTAATCTCAAGTTATTTAGAATTTGGATCTAAATTTTTTATATATAAATCTTATATATTAAAAAAAATATTCATTTTATGTGCATTTAAATCTTAAAGAAAAATAATAATATATGTGGCTCTCTTAATATAAAAAAATTTATACATTTTCAGAATTCCTGAAATCTTCACAACATACTTGAGAAGACAAATTATCTATTAATTATATTAGATTTTGTTGATATTAATAATGCATTGGAATTCAACTCATCTGTTTAGGTCGCATCTGCCAAAATAATTTCTGTGTGCTGGGGTGGTGATTAGAAGATAAGGTTTGGCTAATTCAACCCAATAAATCATGGCTGAGTAATGCTTATTATTATAATCTTCAATTTTACTGTTCATTATCAAATGAGTTGATTGAACAAATCAAATTAAATCAACTCTAAATGTTTTTGCAATGGAATGAATAGTAGAATCATACTGGCAAACTACTTTCTAATATATTTTTTACCATATTATCTTTTATTAGTTAAAATTTATTAGAAAGTATAAAATTTAGGATGTTTCACACAAAATTTAATGATTCTTTCTTCTAATATTATAATTTTCAATACATTCTGACCAATAAAAGTAAATTTATTAGGTAAAATATGTTGGTAGCACTCCTATGTATAGTAATGCTAACAACAAACTCCTTTAAACATATTTTTTTCTAATTAATTAAAAATTATTGAATAATATAAAATTTGATTGGTTTCATACTCTATTTAATTATTCTCTTTCTTAATTTTATAATTTTTAATGAATTTTAATTAATTAGAATAAATGTCTTAAGAAAATGTATTAAAAAGCTTTATGTTATCACTCTTGTTTAGTACTACGGAGCGGAAGAATCCTAAGAAAAGTTAACATACATAGTTTAGTAAATTAAAAAGGGTTATGTTTATTCATGTTAAAAAGAAAGAAAAAAGAAAAACATATTTTGCGTTTATATGTTTTTTTATCAAGGCAATTAGCTTTTATGTTTAGCTGTTTCAAATTAACTACATCAGTATAACTTTTATTAAATATTATAATATTAAATAATAATTTTATATTAAATATAAATTTTATAAATTTAAATATTAAATTATTAAATTTTTGCCAATAAAATAATAAGAGTTGGAAGGAGAAATGGTAACGTGTGTTGATTTGTGACTTGTTGGAATGGAAGGTATCGCCAATGAAAGAAGTATGAGTGTGACCCATTTTGGGGTTGACCCAATTTCGCTATCACTAGGGGTCCTTCATCAATAATCAATAATAATAATAAAGTTTTTTTCCCTTCTATTTGTTGACAAGGAAATTTGGCATTTTTGTCATGGCACCATTATCACATTTGCATCTTTTGGAGATGAACTAATCGGTATTTTCTGCTTTATTCATCACTCACTAAAAAATCAAGGTTGTGGTGTTAGGCTAAAAATGAAATAAAGACAAAAAAAAAAAAGTTAAAACTAGCTTAAAATGGAATGGTATCAATAAGCAAATTAAAACAAAAACAAAAAAAGAAATAGGAAAGTTAGGATATTTGCAACCTTAAACTAGAACCTAAATGTAATTACAAATATAACTGTAATCTTAAAGTAATTCTTATGTTACTGTTGTTTTTATAATTTTGTTTTATAAAATGAGCTTTTTAGTTTCATATTAATTATGTTTATTTTATGAAGTGTATTTGCAATTCACAAAATATAAAAGTATTTTTGAACTCGTAATGATCCACGCTTAAGTAAGGTCAGGGGTTCAAATCCTACCTTGTGTATGCAGCCGCATTAAATTTTGAGGTCAGTTATCTCACCCTTTGAGGTGTCTCCAACGTAACGAGGAGATTAATCACTGTTATCGGCGGTAGATACTCCAGGGACGAATCAAAAAAATGAACTCGTAATGATTTCACAAGTATGATGGTGTTTATAAAATAAATATTAATAACTGGCTTATCTGTTGAAATAAAACCAGTTTTCTACTCTAAAAGATAATGAAAATATATAAACAAGGGTAATAAAAAATTTAAAATATATATATATAGTCACAATCTGAAAAAATATTTGATTTTTTTCGATTTTCATATTATTTTATTTTAGCTAAGTATGATAATTAATAATGGTTTTTAAAATAAAAGTCACATAGCAAAGTGAAAGGTTTGACACTCAATAATATTATATTAGTCGAACATGATTCGTCACGAAAAATACATGTAGTATAGGAAAAAGAAAGTCTCACAATAAAGTGAGCAAATTAGACTCATAAATAATAATAATAATAATAATAATAATAATAATAATACATTATTAATAGTAATAGTCAGCAAAGGAGGTATTATTTGTTTTACTTCTTGTAATGATTTTTCCTAAATCCTAAACATTTCAATAGATTAAGAGAAAGAGGTATTTTAAAAATTATCATTGGTTTCAATTTCTAAGTAATGTATAATTATTATTTTTTTGTTATTCAATAACAACAATAATAATAATAATTTGAGAAATATGAATAATTTAGAAAAATAACTTGTTAACATAAATAATATATAAGATATTGGTAGATAAAAATGTAACAAAAAGAAATATAGATAGTTAAAAAATATAGGAGAAAAATATATAGAAGAAGAATAAATAAATAAATAAAAGAGATGTGAACAAAAAAAGAAAGAGAAGGGGTGAAAGAGAGAAAGAGAAAGAAAAGAAGATGAGATAGGAAAGAGAAAAAGAGAGAAAAGAGAATATGGGACAAAGAGATAATGTGGTTCTACCCATTTGGTATCCAAAAGGTGATAAGTAGTTTCTTTGATAAGATAAGAAATGACAATTTAGTGAAAGTATTTAATTAAAACATGTATTATACCAACGAAAACTTCTTTTCTCAAGAAGCAAATTATGAAGACAGGTGAAACAAGTCATGAGAGAGAAGTTAAAGGATTCACAATAGTTACCTTCATTAAAACCCTATAAAAGGAAGTTTGAAGTTTAGAAAGTAATGACAAAAAATAGATATACAAAAAGAGACAATCATTCGTAAAAAGCTATATTCTTTATGTAAAAAGCCTTTGTACTTAACTTATTGTATCATGTTTGAAAATAAGACGAAAAAAATCTATAAACATTTGTAACTTAGAGTTATTAGGTTTAAGCCTAGAGAGACTTGTTTGCAAAAGAATACTTGAGTTTGAGTCTAGAGAGATTTATCTATAAAAGAATACTCATGGTTGAAGATTAAAGAGACTTTGGGTAAAAAGAATGGTTGGACAGTTGCTTGAAAAAACAAGTTAAACAAAACTTATAATTGAACTAGAAGTGGTTTGGTAAAGAATAGTTGTATCTTGAATAAAATAGTAGAATTTGATCTAGTTGGATCAAGAACTGGATGTATGGTTGAGACAAAACAGTATAAAAACACCTTGTGTTTTTATTGTTTACCTCTTCGTCTAAACTTCTTGCAAGGCTATTACCTCACTGACTTATGTAAAGTTTGAGTTTTTTAGGAATATTATTTAACCTTCTTTCTAATGTCTTTTTTTTCTTTACAGAGAGGGAGAAAGATGAAAAAGAGAGAAAACAAAGGCACAAGAGCAAAAAAAGAAGATAGGAGAAATAAATAAGAAGAAAAAAATGAAAAATCTTAATGAATTTAGTGAGATTGTTGGATGAGTGAAATATATATAAATTTTACTAAAAAGTCTCACAAAATCTATCCATCAAAATAATCTATTGAAATCTCTATATTTTTTTAATACCAACAAACTTTTTGTAAGTGAAAAAAATCTTAATTGAACACTACCAAATTTGACATACTCCTAAATTTTTTTATTATTTTAATTAAATATTACTAAATTTTAATGTACTTTAAAAAAACATAATTATTTTAATTGAATACAACATAACTTTTTTATATTATAAAAAAGTTTTGAACGAATACCAACTTTTTTATCATAAAAAAATCTTTCAATTTTTTTTAAATTTCAATCTAATGCACTCTCTAAATTTAACATATTTTATACTAATTATCAGTTAAGAATAATATGCATAAAGTCATATATTCTGACATCAAATTGAATTTTCATAGTTTTTAACAAAATATCACTCTTTGTAATTGGAATTTTGGATTTCAAATTATTAATTTCTATTTTTTAAAGTAATACTTCTAACTGTGGAATTGTTTTTTATTGTTAAGAAAAAGTAATAAAAATAAAATATGAGCTTATTTTATAGCAATTGTAATTAATTGTTGTTTTAAGTTCAACTATTGTAAAAAAAATAAAATTCCTTACATATAAATCCATCACTTTTAGTAATTTGGCCATTATAAATCAATCAGAAACAAATCATATATTTTGGTTTACTATAGACATTTATAATAAATAAAAAAATATTAATTTGGGAATACCTTTAACGAAAATAATAGAGACCATTCAAAAATGGATTAGTTGTTTCTACATCAAAGAAACTACGAAACTCTTGTAATTTAGCTGAATTTTGACGAAGCCTTTATTTGATGGGATGCATGACTCACAACGACTAGTCTCCAGTCAATTAAATAGAAGCTTACAGCCAAACTCCGTAGAGGTTTCATCGTAAGATCCAATGCTTAGCCATGTGCCAATTGTTTTTGTTTTCAACATCGTCATTGTCGCAATTTGGACTTTGCAAGATTTAATTTTTCATTTTATGATCCTCAAAATACTTTTATTGTAATGAAGTTCAACTATTAACTAGTTTACATAATATACGCATAATCTTAAATTCGAATTTTGATTATATCAATGAAAATTTTAATGAATAAAAGAAATGGAACCATTAACTAGTTCTTCCCAAAGTAGAGATTATTATTAAAGGTTGGTATAAGTTCTCAAAATAAAATTTCAATTAAAATTTGTAAACAACAGTGAAAACATAACTTATTGCACTTGAGTTTCATCCGTTTTAATAACTTGAAATAAAGTGAAGATAAGAAAATTTTTAGTTCAATTTCTTCTCAAGGTTTGAGATATTCACCTCAACATAGTCACTCTCTTTTTACGACCACGCTCTTTCTTTGGGATCCGATTGTTTTCTTGGTGTGTGACCCTCCCAAAATAGAATATGAAAGAAAAGAAACAAAATCTTCATTAGTTAATTTGCTTAAAATAGAGATATCAAATCAAATAACAAGTTGTTCCTCGTTCTCTACATTGATTCAAGAAAAAGAATGTAAAGATGTCCTTGTAAACAAGATCATGCAATTTCCATGTGCTTGTTGCCTTTTAAAGGCCCTTTACTTTTTCATTCTGCCACCAATTTTCTTTTTGTATATACAAATCATGCCTTCCACAACCTATCCTATGTGTTAAAACTTAAAGCCTAAAACGTTTCTCTCACAAGTCACAATACACTACTATCCTGAATTTCTTGTAAGCAATGTTACAACCTACCTAAACTCACAGTAAATTCAATAACAAAGGTCAATACTCAATACTCAATGGCATTTGCATATGAACCATTGCATCTTCTATTGTTGTTATACTTCTCAACATGTTTTTTGTCATCAACTAGCACCACTTCATCTGTTAAACCTCAGAGACTAGTCTCAAAACTAATTCACCCTGGATCAGTTCACCACCCTCACTACAAGCCAAATGAAACAACCAAAGACAGAATGGAACTTGATGTGCAACACTCAGCTACACGTTTAGCCTACATAAAAGCAAGGATAGAAAATTCTTTGGTCTCTAATGAGTACACAGCTAGTGCTTTTCCCTCCTCAACAGGTAGAACAATTCTGGCCAATATCTCAATAGGCCAACCCCCCACGCCACAGCTAGTCATCATGGACACTGCCAGTGACATCTTGTGGGTCATGTGTGCCCCTTGCTCAAACTGTGATCACCACTCAGGTCAACTCTTTGACCCCTCAAAGTCTTCCACCTATTCCCCACTATGCAACACACCCTGTGACTTCAAGGGCTGCAAATGTGACCCTTTACCCTTCAGGATCTCTTATGTAGATAGCTCCTCAGCTTCAGGAACATATGGCCATGACATGGTTCTCTTTGAGACAACTGATGAAGGTACCTCTCAGATGTGGGGTGTGCTATTTGGATGTGGCCACAACATTGGATACAATAGGGATCCAGGGTACAATGGAATACTAGGACTAAACTATGCACCTTCATCTTTGGCAACACAAATTGGCCAAGGGTTCTCTTACTGCATAGGCAACCTGGCTGACCAATATTACAGTTACAACCAATTGATATTAGGTGAAGGGGCAGATCTTGAAGGCTATTCCACCCCTTTTCAAGTGCATTATGGCTTTTACTATGTCACCATGGAAGGCATAAGTGTAGGGGAAAGGAGGCTTGACATTGCTCCAGAAACTTTTGAGATTAAAGAGGATGGCACAGGTGGAGCCATCATTGACACAGGGTGCACCCTCACCTATTTAGTTGATGGTGTGCATGAGTTACTATACAGAGAAGTTAGAAATCTCCTTGGTAAGTCCTTTAGACAAGCTATATTTGAGAACACACCGTGGATGCTGTGCTATTATGGCAGTATAAGTAGAGATCTAGTTGGGTTTCCAGTGGTTACATTCCATTTTTCTGATGGGGCAGATTTGGCTTTGGACTCGGGAAGTTTTTTTCATCAATTCAATGATAAGGTATTTTGCATGACTATAGGTCCAGTCAATGACCTTGACAACAGAAGCAAGCCTTCAGTTATTGGATTGTTGGCTCAACAGAGTTACAACGTGGGATATGACCTGGATAATCACTTGGTTTACTTTCAAAGAATTGATTGTGAACTTCTTAGTGGTTGAATATGATTATGGATGCATTCACAGATCACAACTCTTGGTCCTCCAAAATGCATTGACCAAATTTCGTTTTTGTGCGTACTATTAGAGCAAGTCTAAAAGCATAATTTGGACACTATAAGGTAAACAGCAATGCGTTGTTCTCTCATAGCATATATATGTCTATAATTATTTTAAATTTAACAAGAATATGCAATGCATTGTGTTCTCAACTGTTTGTCCTCTTTTCCTGTTACATTTTCACAACTACTATTACTATGTTAGCATCACTGTGTTTGTCACAATAAATAGTCAAAACCACAGTACTCAGAATATTTAATCCACATCTACCAGATCATGTACTCAATACATGAGAATTCCAAATAATACAGTAAAATATAGATATGATAGAAGTAGTTTAGGTGACCGGACTGAAAGAAGTAAATTTGAACAACTTCTCAATACATCGTTATTCTTATAAGAAATTTATTTTCAATCGCCAACTAAAACCTCTTTTCACCATTCTACTAATGTTATACTTTTATTCTTGGTAAACATGAGGGCCAGGAGCAAATCATTTTCCAGACAGGCATTTTTTAATGCCTAACTCCAGCTTTTTCCGTAGTCCTGCCATCTTTGCCACAAGTTCATGACAAACAATTTTCAATTGCAAACTGGCTAGCTGAGAGATATTTCTTGGTAGTGACTTCTCAACCTTACAAAAAAAAAAAACTCAAGATCTTCATAGGCCAGAGAGAGGTAACAAATTGACGTTTCAAAATCAACCATCCATCAGCTTAAAAGAGAGGAAGAAAGAAGGACATGCAAGAAGGAATAAAAAATCCAACTCAATCTGCTTATCATAACATGAATAAAAAACAATACTTACATTTAATCACCATAACCAGGGAAGCAGACTTTGGTCATGCATTCAACACATCTTCTTTCCTTTTGATAGACAACATTATGATGGCTTTTTTACCCCAATAAATAAAAAAAATAAAAAATACACGAAATAAATTAAAAAAAAAAAAATTTACCAAAGTAGGTGATTTTGGACAGCGTGGCGCCATGTGGAACAGAAAACGTAGGGGAGTGGGGCATTTTTCAGAAAAAGCCTTCCCCCCATGCGCCTTGTATGGCTGATGTGGCACCTACATACGTGGAGAAGAAAGAGCAGGGGGGAGGCGTTTTTCAGAAGGAGCCTCCCCCCAAGGCGCCATCTGTTGTAGACACGTGGCAGGTTTGTAAAAAAGAGCAGGGGGAGGCGTTTTCAAGAAAAAGCCTCCCCCAAATGCTATCTGTTCACGTGCTGATACGTTGCAATGCGTCTCTCCCCCAGGCGCTATGAAATTCAGACACTCCATAGTTAAAGGTAGAACGTGTTATTGGATTTCACAAAATTCACTTCTTCCGGTGTGGTCCAGCTGCTATCATATTTTATTTGGTGGTCCAGGGTAGTGCAAGTGAGTAATATATTTTATTTGCTGTAATTTTAAATTTTATAATATATTGTATGGTGATTCAAAGATAAAATAGAGTGGTGTAATAATTTAAATTTTTTTTTTAAATAGAATGGTGAATACGTAATTTTTAAACGTGGAACAGGCCGTTCTGAAAACGTACGTATTCAGAACGCGCTGTTCCGGATGGTAAAGTAAGGAGGGTTATGTACAGTAAAAACGGGACGTTCTGATTTCAGAACGGCCCATTCTAGATCCATAGATAAGACACCACTGTTGCAATGAGAATGGCCCGTTCTGAAATTAGAACGGGCCGTTCCAGTGCCCCAATTAAATTTTTTTTTTTAATTGAAAAAGTTATATAATTTGATTTTTATAATTGAATATATGTATTTATTGCAATGTTAAAAATTATGATATTATACTGAATATTTTAAATTTTAAAATTTGAAACAATATTAATGGAATATTTATTTTGATTTATATTTTAACAGGAATGTCTCGTAGAAGAATAGATTATGTACCTGATAGTGACGAAGAAGAAAACATTGTTCCATCAGATGAAGTATTGACAAATGAACAATTATTATCAATAATGAGAAGTGCTATGGCAGTTAAACAGGCTGAAGAAGCTAGAGAACAGGAGTCATTGTTTCCGTTGTCACCCCCTACACCAAAACTTGGGGATTTGAAGTTGAAGAAATCTTCAATGCAGTAACACAACGAGGTGGGAAGGTTTTCAATATTTTTTTAACTGAAAAAAAAATGTGAGTGTGGTGCTTTTCGGGCATATAGATATCCATGTTCACATGCAACAACAGCTTGTGCACACGTTCATATAGATCCATTAACTTTTGTTGATGCCGCATATACTAACGAATACATCAAAGCGGCATATTCAGGTCAATGGTTCCCACTTGGAAGTGATGAAAATATTGAACCTAATGATGGACCTCGTATACTCCCAGATGAGACAATGATACGTGGAAAGGGACGTCCAAAATCAACCCGCATTAGAAATGAAATGGATTGGACTGAATCCCAAAGGAGACAACGATGTGGACATTGTAGGCGAGAAGGGCATAATAGAACTAATTGCCCTATGCTGGCTGAAGATGTTATGAATAACACATGAAAAGTTTGTATTTTGCTATTTATTTAAAGAATAAAATTCATGCAATGTTAAATCATGTTAATTGTGGTTCAATTAAACTGTTCTGTTATACAATGAAATAATAACAACAACGTTTACATTAACTATTACACACAATAAAAAAAAAACAAATTAGTTCTTCAACCTATTCTCATAATCTCTGGAACGTGTAACCATCGTGGTCCAGTGGCATATCAACTGTACAAACAAATTTATATCAGTAAACTAAACATTTAGGTAAACAAAATAATTTACAATGATCAATTATGTTTAAGTACTAACAACTTATTATTCAGATTACCTATTCATTTCTCCGCATGTGCTGCTCATGGGACTTAGTATACATTGCCGTTGTCTATGGCGAGCACCACGATCTGGGTTCCTCTGAACTACCTCATCACCATCTCCCTCAGGATTTCCAGCTTCCGCTGCTAATGTTGTATTAAGATCATGCCCTAAACCTGGATGTTGAGAAGAGGTACCCCCACCAAAAAATCCTCCTATTGGAACTGAGGGCTGTCCAAATCGATAATCTCGATAATCCATCAAAGGTGCTGATGGAGAGATCGTGTCTGGAACACATGGAGTAGGTGTAAACTGGAACATACTGCCACCCGACATACTCGAGATATAACCCATCAACGCTGATGCCGGGAAATTACCTGCACCAGACGCTACTAGTGTGTCAAATCTGGTTGTGGTAATGCTGCACCTGGAGCCGGTGTAAAAGGGAAACTCACCCTGCTCACCTCGTCTCGCAATTGCAAGCAGTGGCCGATCCTCTCATGCATCATGGTAAAATCGAAGGAATCCCTATGTTCTTCACTAGTCCCATGATACATGTGTTCCAAAACATCGGTCTACAAATAACATAACAAATATAATCATAACACTAAATTTGTAAATATGTCACAAGTAATTATTTAAATACATCCCTAGATTTGTACTCACCAAATATAATCAACTCGCCTTGTATGTTTCCTATACTACACCAAGGTGTATATTCAGTCCAATCCATTCCATGAAAAATAGTTGCAAATCAAGGTGCCCAACTTCTAAAACAGGGTACAGTAGTGCAAAGGGTTTACACCAAGGTGTATATTCAGTCCAATCCATTCCATGAAAAATAGTTGCAAATCAAGGTGCCCAACTTCTAAAACAGGGTACAGTAGTGCAAAGGGTTTACACCAAGGTGTATATTCAGTCCAATCCATTCCATGAAAAATAGTTGCAAATCAAGGTGCCCAACTTCTAAAACAGGGTACAGTAGTGCAAAGGGTTTAAATAATTACTCCTTCTAGTGCAAATGAAGGATATGTGGTGAGTACAAATCTAGGGATGTATTTAAATAATTACTTGTGACATATTTACAAATTTAGTGTTATGATTATATTTGTTATGTTATTTGTAGACCGATGTTTTGGAACACATGTATCATGGGACTAGTGAAGAACATAGGGATTCCTTCGATTTTACCATGATGCATGAGAGGATCGGCCACTGCTTGCAATTGCGAGACGAGGTGAGCAGGGTGAGTTTCCCTTTTACACCGGCTCCAGGTGCAGCATTACCACAACCAGACGCAGTTCAGGTGGAGCACATTGGGGCAGGTCGACAAAAAGGAAATGGGCTAATTCGTCGACGAAGGCAAGTTGATCACCAGGGTTTACAGATGCCAGTTCCTCCGAATGAGCCACCAACTGAGACATATTATCTGACTACATTGACCCCGGATGCAAATGTCACACAATATGTGTATGGTAGTGCACAAGACACATCTGTTGGGTTTGACACAACAGCAGCGTAGTGCAGGTAATTTCTCGACATCGGTGTCGATGGGTTATATCCCGAGTATGTCGGGTGGTAGTATGTTCCAGTTTACACCTACTCCATATGTTCCAGACACGATCTCTCCATCAGCACCTTTGATGGATTATCGAGATTATCGATTTGGACAACCCTCAGTTCCAATAGGAGGATTTTTTGGTGGGGGTACCTCTTCCCAACATCCAGGTTTAGGGCATGATCTTAATACAGCATTAGCAGCGAAAGCTAGAAGCCCTGAGGGAGATGGTGATGAGGTAGTTTGAAGGAACCCAGATCGTGATGCTCGCCATAAACAACGGCAATGTATACTAAGTCCCCATGAGCAGCAAATGCGGAGAAATGAATAGGTAATCTGAATAATAAGTTGTTAGTACTTAAACATAATTGATCATTGTAAATTATTTTGTTTACCTAAATGTTTAATTTATTGATATAAAATTGTTTTTACAGTTAATATGTCACTAGACCACGCTGGTTACACGCTCTAGAGATTACGAGAATAGGTTGAAGAACTAATTTGTTTTTTTTTATTGTGTGTAATAGTTAATGTAAACGTTGTTGTCATTATTTCATTGTATAACAGAACAGTTTAATTGAACCACAATTAACATGATTTAACATTGCATGAATTTTATTCTTTAAATAAACAGTAAAATACAAACTTTTCATGCGTTATTCATAACATCTTCAGCCAGCATAGGGCAATTAGTTCTATTATGCCCTTCTCGCCTACAATGTTCATATCGTTGTCTCCTTTGGGATTTAGTCCGATCCATTTCATTTCTAATGCGGGATGATTTTGGACGTCCTTTTGCACGTATCATTGTCTCATCTAGGAGTATACGAGGTCCATTATTAGGTTTAATATTTTCATCACTTCCAAGTGGGAACCATTGACCTGAATATGCCGCTTTGATGTATTCATTAGTATATGCGACATCAACAAAAGTTAATGGATCTATACGAACGTTTGCATAAGCTGCTATTGCATGTGAACATGGATATCTATATGCCTGAAAAGCATCACACTCACATTTTTTTTAGTTAAAAAAACATTGAAAACCTTCTCACCTCGTTGTGTTACTGCATTGAAGATTTCTTCAATTTCAAATCCCCAAGTTTTGGTGTAGGGGGTAACAACAGAGACAATGGCTCCTGTTCTCTAGCTTCTTCAGCCTGTTTAGCTACCATAGCACTTCTCATTATTGACAACAATTGTTCATCTGTCAATACTTCATCTGATAGAACAATGTTTTCTTCTTCGTCATTACCAGGTACATAATCTATTCCTCTACGAGACATTTCTATTAAAATATAAATCAAAATAAATATTCCATTAATATTGTTTCAAATTCTAAAATTTAAAATATTCAATATAATATCATAATTTTTAACATTGCAATAAATACATATATTCAATTATAAAAATCAAATTATATAACTTTTTCAATTAAAAAAAATTAATTGGGGCACTAGAACGGCCCGTTCTAATTTCAGAACGGGCCGTTCTCATTGTAACAGTGGTGTCTTATCTATGAATCTAGAACGAACCGTTCTGAAATCAAAACGGCCCGTTCTCAGAGAGCTCATAAGATGTTCATTTTAGTTCCGGAACGACCCGTTCTCCTTTTAGATCAGCCCGTTCCAAAGCAAAAAAATAACAAATCTTCAATACAATAAGAACGGGTCGTTCTGCTTCAGAACGTCCCGTTTTTACTGTACATAACCCTCCTTACTTTACCATCTAGAACGGCCTGTTTTGAATACGTACGTTTTCAGAACGGCCCGTTCCACGTTTAAAACTTACATATTGACCATTCTATTTAAAAAAAATTTAAATTATTACACTACTCTATTTTATCTTTAAATCACCATACAATATATTATAAAAAAATAAAATTTAAAATTACAACAAATAAAATATATTACTCACTTGCACTACCCTGGACCATCAAATAAAATATGATAGCAGCTGGACCACACCAGAAGAAGTGAATTTTGTGAAACTCAATAACACGTTTTACATTTAATTATGGAGTGTCTGAATTTCATAGTGTCTGGGAGAGAGGCGCATTGCAACATATCAGCACGTGAACAGATAGCATTTGGGGGAGGCTTTTTCTTGAAAACGCCTCCCCCTGCTCTTTTTTTACAAACCTGCCACGTGTAACATCTGCAACAGATGGCGTCTTGGGGGGAGGCTCCTTCTGAAAAATGTCTCCCCCCATGCTCTTTCTTCACAAACCTGCCACGTGTAACATTTGCAAAAGATGGCGCCTTGGGGGAAGACTCCTGAAAAACGCCTCCCCCCTGCTCTTTCTTCTCCACGTGTGCAGGTGCCACATCAGCCATACAAGGCACATGGGGGGAGGCTTTTTCTGAAAAACGTCCCACCCCCTGCATTTTCTGTTCCACGTGACGCCACGCTATCCAAAATCACCTACTTTGATAAATTGTTTTTTTTATTTTTTATTTCGTGTATTTTTTATTTTTTTTTTATTTATTAGGGTCAAAAAGCCACATTATGACAGCTCTTGTATTCTGAGTATTGTGAATTTGTGATAGCAGTCATCCTATATGTATACCATGGGCAGTAAATTATAACAGCAGAAGAACAAATCACAAATAGCAAAAATGTTACAATACGTACAAAATAATGTACAAAAATCAGCACAATAGATGATTCACTGGCATTCTTGTAATACCCTTACTCTACTCGTGGTAGTTACAGAAAGCAATTCTATTGCAAATGTGTTTAGTCTATATATTGTTTTATCAAACAATATATATTGCCACTTGTTAAGTAATCTTGAGGGCAAAAAAGTATAAAATCCATCCAAGTCTACATCATTTGTCAAAAGTTTGTCATCACAACACATACAACACAATCATTGTTCAACTGTTGCTTCAAAACACTTATTTTTGAGAAAATTTTGAGTTGCTCCATAGAGGTTCACAGGTCTCGCTCATTAAAATGTGCATGTTGTAAAAAACATCAAAATAAACAACAGTCAGATTCAATGGAGAGAAAATGACTATCCACTAAAAGCCTTAAATTTTAATGATATATTTCCAAAAATTCCAGATAAAAATTACAGTTCAATTGCCATTTCCCTCATCAAAGTGCATATTAGCCCTTTTTTCCATTAATTCAAAATTCATAAATAAAAAATAAAAAAGATATGATTTTTGAGTCTAAAAAGAAGAAAGAAGTGTGGGTGGTGTGTACACAATGAGTCTTCTCCAATTTTTACAGGCATCTGGGTTTTCTATTCCACCTTTCTTAACTCAATTTTATTTCTTTTTCATGTTTAATAAAGCCTATTTTATGGGGGATGTTACAATTCTTGAGTTTATATCATTTATTGTATGAGAAAAAAAGGTGTCTAATAGATAACAGGACAGAAAATGCAATCATGACACAGTAACACAAAAAGGCAGTTGTCTTCTATTAAAAGAACTAGTTCTCACAAATAGTTAAAAAAGTGTTTTCAGTCTGATTATTTAGAGCCTGAGAAAAGCATTCACTGTTTTTATGGTATAGAAGTACTATTTTAGCCAGAACATATCAGCACTTGATGCAAACCACATTAATGAAAACAGAAAACAAATGGGTATGAAACAAATTTCATTACCTGTGTAAGTTTATATAGTTTGATAAACTAAAAAAAAAAAAAATATCATTGTATAGTTTGTTGCAGGGGAAAGCACACTAATATTTAAAAAGGAATAAATACAAAAAAAATAAAGGTTCAATTGTATCTTCAAGATGTGCTTCACCAGAATCATTGCTGTAGCTGAAGGAAGCCCTTTATGAGCAACAAATCCAAATTAAATGAGAGAAAGGTGTATGTGTATTTACCATTTCTATAATGGCAGATCTTATAATGGTTCAGTGCCGAGTCCAATGGGTTCCATGATAGTCACTTTATAGGAGAAAGTGCAGACAAACAAGCATAGTTTAGCAATGATAGGCAGTAGCTATGTATTGGAGCCAAAAGGCAAAGTAGCTGCTTATCAACCATTTTATATAACTGACTTTTCATACAGGATCCAGCATTTGAGATGATTCTGTTCCAATTTTGTTGCTGCACCTTTGACCAATAACTTCAATTCTCCACATGGATATCATACTTCTCATCAGTCTTCAGATATAGCACTGATGATGAGCTTTCACTGTCTCGTGCTTATAAGTGTAACCAAAAACCCCATATGCCATCAGTGAAATTATCTCTTAGAGGTCAATGCTAACAGAGGCTCTAAGAGGTCAATGCTAATAGCTATATTATATCATATATGGGAGTTTTGGTTGCACTGCATAATAGAGGCTCTAAGAGATGATTTTGTTCTGTGACTCAAAACCATGGCACAAATCATCAGAAACAAAAGTGAAATGTCAACAATACCTTGAATGAGATTTCACTGTCTCGTGTTTGATACAAAAATGTAATGACAAGTTTAAAGAATAACAAATTATCATTATTTCTGCAATATATTTTAGGCTAGTTATTTTTTCCCCTTCATTTTAGACATTTTTCCTTTTCAGATTGATGATTAGAACAACAAGACAGACACAAGGTTAGTATATTATTTTTTCTGTCTGTCTAATTGAAAGGCAGGAAGAATAAAAGCACACAATCCAACAGACACCGTGCCAAAATAGTTCTGATAACAGAATGGAAATTGTAAAGAACAGGGATGCCATGCCAAAATTATCTAACAAAAGTAATGAATTTCATATAATAAATAGAAGGCAACATAATCCTTCAGCTAATATTTTAAAGCCCCATTTTAATTTGACCAGTTTCATTACATTTTGAGTTCCAAAGGAATGGTAAAGCATTATACATATATGTATATACACTTTAGAAGCTTAATTATAATGAACAATCATGTACCTGTGCGTGTCTTCAGTCATCCATGTTTTCTCTAACTCTTCTTTGCTGGCACTAACGGGAGAATAGTTCCTACATTAAACGAATTCTTCTTTTCTTATCCCAAGTGTTCAATTCATACACTCTGTCAGGTCAGAAAGCATTTCTTTTGCTGATTGATTTGCTTTCTGCAGCTCCCCTTTGGCACAAAGTGCAGCAATTCTAGAATAATAGAAGTCAAAGCCATGCAGCTGGGATCTTCTCATATGACCATCATTATTTGTTGTAATATTTCTTACATCTTTGTCATCACAAGATCCAAAATTTAAACCACTTGTGCAAGAGGAAGGTACAATGCTAAAAGATTTTGAACCAAAATCCTTCCATTCATAAAGCTTCTGTTGTTTATTGACTCCTTGATTATAAGTGGACAACCTTTGAACAGGAAAAAGCATACGTGCAATTTCATTGAGAACAGTAACAGCTTCATGCACCCTTCCTTGCTCACATAAAGTGGCAAGAAAATCACTTATTGACTCGGTATCAACCTCCTTGTTGACTATGTTAATCAACTCTACAGCATGCTTGGACTGGAGCATTTCTCTCAAGACACCCCTGGCTTCTTCCATCCTTCCTTTTGTACATAGACCTCTTATCAAATACAAGAACCCAAAAAAATCAGGTGATATTTCCTTCCTCTTGAATTTATAATAAAATTCAAGGGCTCCTTGCATGTCACCCTTTTGGCAATAGCAATTAATTACAGCACTTACAGTCAGACTGTCAGGCTCAATATATTTTGTCCCCATATCATTTAGAAGCTCAAATGCCTTTTCTAATTGACCAAACTTAGAAATACCATCAAGTAATGAATTGTAAACTTGTACTTTTGGCTGAAAGCCCTTGAGGACCATTTTCCTGAAAACATGCTCTGCATCTAGCAAAAATCCCTCCCTACACAGAGCGTAAATTAAGGTAGCATAAGTTATTTCAGAGGGAACCAAATTAAGTTTCTCTAAAGAATCCAATAGCCGAAATGCTTCAATAAGACGTCCTTCATGGCACAATCCATTTAATATTGAATTATATACAACTATGTTCAAGCTCATCCCCTTCTCTTCAACGAAGGCACAGAGATCCAACGCTTTATTGAGATATCCTCCCTTGCACAAGGCATCAATTACAATGGCATAATCAACATAAATGACTGGTAAATTATCTTGAGTCCCAGTGACAAGCTTATATGCATCTAAAGCTCTACCCTCCTTTATGAGAATCTTGAGAATAAAGGAAGGAAAAGTGGAAGCTGATGAGTTATTCACTGTTTTTCCTAAAAATTGAAGGGCACTGTTGACATCTTTCAGACAGAGGTAGCATGCAAGAATCTTTTGTACCATTGGTTCAACTACACCACATTCTTTCAGGAAACTATTTAAAAGGGGCAAAATTTGCTCCCTATTCCCATTACTTAGATGCCCTCTCAAAATCGAATAATAAGACTTGCATGTGACAGATAGGCCTTTCTTTTTCATTATCATGCACAAATGATTTGCATCATCAAGTAATCCTCTTTGACATAATAAAAAGATGGAATCATTACATACTGCACTATATAAGTCTGATTCCAAACCTTCCATTCTGTAAACTAGATCTAAAACCTCTTTCGTATTGTTTTCTTCAAAAATTGTTTTCATCAACATCCTAAATGTACCTATATCCAATTCTAGACCTTTATGACTGAGCTCAAGCAATGCCTCAATAGCCATTTCTGCCATACCGTTCTTGCAAAGGCCATTAATAATGCTATTGTAGCATGCATGTGAAGAGATCGAAGTCCTTCTAAATTCATCAAAAACCTCAAGTGCCCCGTCAATTCTACCTACCTTGCAATACCCATCAATCATTGTGCAGTAAGTCACAGAATTCGGAACCAGATCCATTTCTGCCATTCCTTTGTAAAGTGCATAAACATCTTCAAAAGCCCCCATCATAAACAGGGCTTTGATCAGTACATTACACATCACAATATCCATAGCAATTCCGGCTTCCTCCAGTCGCCTCTTTGTGTGCAAAATCCCCGGAATGTTCTCCTCTTCAGTATACCCGTGCAGCAACGTACTGTAAGTAATCACATCCTTAGCAACATTTCTCGATAACTCATCCGCCTCAGATGTCCTCCCATGCTTGCACAAACCATTCATAACAGCATTGTACGCAACAACACTAGGACTAATCCCACTCTTCTCCATTTCATCAAACAAACCAAACACCTTATCGAAATCCCCTCTCCGGCCAAACCCATCAATCAAAATTACAAACACATACTCATCCAGCTCAATTCCCAAATCTTTCATGCTCTCGAAAACACCAAACGCATCCTCCACCTTACCCTTCTTACAATAAGCAGACATGATTGCACTATATGTAACCTTATTAGGTCTATGCCCTTCTTTTATCATCTTGGCCAAGAAAGTAAACGACTTCTCTACATCACCTAGCTTGGAAAACCCATCCACAAGCACAGTATAACTCACAAAATCATGACCTATACCCTTTTCCACCATCTCCCTCATCCTCCCAAAAACCTCCCCCAAAACCCTCTCCTCAACATACCCACAAGCCCAAGCACTATACAAAACAACATCCAAACCCAACCCCTCCCTCTCCATCCACTGCACCAAGCCACACACTTCCCCAACCTTCCCCATCTTACAAAGAGCCCCCACAAGAGCCGTGCAAGTCACCACATTTGGCCTCAACCCACCACATTCCGTAACATTCTTGAAAAACCCCAACCCAAGTTCCGGTTTCCCCACCCTACAAAACCCTGAAATAACCGAACTACACACAAAATCATCAAAAGGGTAATTAACCCCATCATCACCCATCAACTCCAGCACCTCAATAGCCCTACCCATTAACCCCTTTGAGCTCAATCCGTGAACCACGGCACAAAAAGTTAATGAAGAAGGCAAAACACCAGAGTCCCTCACGCAGCGTTGCAAAAAGGTGAGTGCTTTTTCCGGGTCGTGGCGTTTTGTGCAGATGCCTTGGATGAGGGTGTCCCACATGAAGGAGTGGGTTATTTCTCTGTGTGTGTACATGAATTGTTCTGCTTCTTCGAATCTGTGGGATTTGAGGAGTGCCCATGTGAGCAGGGAGAGGGTCTTGTGGTTGGTGGGGGCGTTGTTGGCTTTCAACTGGGAGAAGAAGTGGGTGATTAGGTCGAACTTGTGGAGGTGGAAGAGGAAGAGGAGGAAGCGGTTGATGGGTTTTGGGGTAGGTGTGAAGCCACGCTTGAGTAAGGTTTGGAGGGACAAGGGGCGTGGGTGGAACAACATAGAAAGGAAAAGACTACACTTGGATTTCGCCAACTACGTTGTTCCAAAACCAGAGGATTATGTTGATGCTAGTTCCATTTTCTTTAGTTTGAGTTGAGCTGGGGAAGTGAGAAGCAAGAGACATGATGATGATGATGCCTCCATTCCATTGGGCCTGGCCCAGTATTGTCTATCACTAGATCCAATACTCTTGACTTCTCCTTTATTATAAGTACACCTCTTTTTTTTAAATAAAAATTTTAAAATATTTGTAATTTTTTTAATTTTTTAATTTTACAATTTCAACATTTAATTTAGTATTCTTTTTCTGTTTTTCATATCTCATTTTCTCTTTCTTTTAGTTTTTGCATGTATTTCTTGCCTTATCTCACTTTCTACTTAAATAGTTTTAATTTTTTCAATTTTTACATTACCCTTTTCTCTCTTCTCTCTTTTAGTTTTCAAATGCAATTAGGTTATAGAATTGGTGTGCAACGATATTGTAGACATGTGCGGCTTCCTCGACAATGCCAAAGGTGTTGAACCAGATGCACGTTTTTTCTTCGTACACTTTCTCTCCTTTCAAACTTCCATAAACTTCAACATTAAATTTAGTGTTCTGAAAAATAATTTAAGAACATTAATTTTGGTATTCTGGAAATTAATTTTTGGAACAGTAAAATTAGTTTTCTAAAAAGTATTTTTCTGAAAGTGTGTTGTTTTATATAATTTCAACAAGTTATTTCCAAAATAGTAAATGTAGTGTTTCAAAAAGTACTTTTTAAAAGTGTGTAAAAATAATAATTTCAAAAAATAATTTTTAGAACATTAATTTCTCTATTTTGGAAACTAATTTCTAGAATACGAAAATTAATGTTTCGACTTTTAGGGATTGTGAAACGAGAAGAGGTGCTCGAAGAAAAATTGCGCGTTTAGTTTGGCGCCTTCAAATCAACAACTCAAGCAATTTTGTGAAATTTTATTAGTCCATCCGTTTTTTGCCTTGAGATTAAATAAACTTAAGATCACGAAAAATCATGTAAAATTATGACAATCTGGATACAAAGGTTTTTCCACATCATTGCACAAACTATTATATACATGTATGCATTTGAAAGAATCAGCCCTAACATCATAGATTATGTTCTCAAGTTGATCATCAATCTCTAAATTGACTTTTTTCTTTATGAGTTTGATGCACTTGTATGCGTGGCATGTCTAACAATTTACCATGTCATGTCCATATTATGTAGTTTTTTAGGAACCTATCACACAAAACATGCTCTCAAGTAATATCTACCAATTGCCTTTGCAAATTGAAACAATTCACACAATGATAATAAAATCTTCCATTACTATTTGTAACATTTCATTGTACAAATTGAAGAAACTCTTCCACTCCATTCTCATATTCGAGAGTTGTGCGTAAATAATTCATCTAGCTCCAATCCTTTATCTCGTTCGTCTAACATAAATCATGTCAATCTCACTTTTTAATACAAGGTGTGACCTACCCATTTGGAAAGATAAATGTTTATACTTGATTAATACATAAAGGTAAAATCCTATATATTAAATTTGACAAAATTTTGACATCTCACATTGGTCTCTAAGTACACAAAATGAAAGTGGTGACATCAAGTATGCACCCAAAAAATAATAAAAAATGAAGTCAACCAATTATCAATATTCTTCTTAACATAATTCTATAAGGATCAGAGAGAGTTCTTGTGAGATTACTCTTATAATCATAGATTACTCAAAGGTCCTTCTATTGTTGTGTAATCCTTAGGCATGAGTGACTAAGTTCTCAACTTTTGGAGGTTGAGATAGCTGCTTAAATTATGTAATTTTTTATGTGTTTTCCATTCAATAAAGTCTTTCTTCAGTTAATCATTTTATTCTTGTACTTAATGTTTGTTTTGTTTAGATCAACCTCTACATGGTTTTATTATTTTTAATTGAGGTTAGATAACCCTTTTTAAAATTACGACGTAGATAAAATGTTGATAATACTTATTATCAAAGAATTAGGATAAACGTTATCAATCAACTTTTGGTCTTTGACCTTAATGTAAGATTGTTTAACAAAAATTACCAAGAAATTGAGATTTTCCTTAAACACCCCAAACTTTCTCACCTAAAAAATTAGGGTTTAAATATAATAGTGGACTATTGAATTAATTGTATAATTACAACACTAAATGAAAAATTAAGAGGTTTTGCATAGGAAAAGTTAGTGAATCAATCTCTGACTATTTTCATTATAAATTTCAAACTCTTCATAATCTATTGCTTTATTTTAATTTTTGCTAAATTTAATATTTCTTGTTAAAGAATTCTAAATCTCTAAATCTTTATTAAATCATTTGATTAGTACCAAAATTATATTAAACAAATATAACTCAAGTCCTTGTGGAATCAATAACTTGGACTTTTGTCCAATTTACTACCTACAACAATTGGTATACTTGCCAAATGCATAATAATGTACATACATAACTCATACATAAATTTCATTAAAATAAGTAATGAGCAAACACAAAATGAACAAATAGGTATTGAACAAACCCAAAATGAGCAAATAGGTAATGAGCAAACCCACATTTAGAATAATATGCGTATTATTCATCACAAACAATAAACAACATGGAAGGAAGAGAAGTGGAGCTTTGAACTTGGGAGCATGAAGAAAATTTGAAGAAAAAGCTCACCAAACTAAAGGAGAATTGGTCACTGGAACATTTTGGTCGCATTGGTCGCCGGAACGAGTGGGTAGCATGCATAGAAAATTCATCGAAAATCACCTTTAATGTCACCTATGGTGAAGAAGATGAAACAGTGAAGCGTGAACTGGGTCCATGCTCTCAATGTAAGTAATAAGAAGACATTCTATAACAGGAGATAATTTACTTGTCATATAATATTTCTTTTTATGATGAATAAGTCAACACCCATCATAGAAAGATTGGAGTCAGAGAATAACCAATACAATATATGATGGATATTGACTTACCTGTCATAGAAAGAACATTCTATAACAGGTAAGTTAACACTCGTCATAAAATGTTTTGACATATTTACAAGTATATCAACATGTCACTTTCTATATCTCATGGATAACACCCGACATAAAAAGTGCGTCAATAAATCCTCTTTTATTTTGCACTAGTGTGACATTGAGAACTCATACCTTGTGTTTGTCTCCCATGATGTGTGTTGGACACCTCTCAAGACCATTAAAATCTTATTTTAGTAGACATACTCACTTAAGAAAATCCCTTAGTATCAAAGGTGATCTATTTGGTACTAATATTTAGTTCGATACTAATATTTAGTTCGACAAGTAAAGTCTTAAATCAAATAAGATACTACTAAATTTTAATTAACTACTAAATAAATAATGATACTTAGTCTAGGAATATTCAACATATCATTGATTTATTACTTGATAGTCTTAGGTGTCATCTCCCCTGCCTATCGTTTTTATGGATCAAAATTCAAAATAGATTCTTTCAATTGACTTGCATGGAACTACATATAAATATACTTTTGGCATATGCTTAATTGGACAAAAAGAGATCATGCTATGGTGATTGCATGCCACAATCGATTCAACGTTTTCCCTCAGCAGGGAAACAGACCTGGATCAAAGAATTCCAACTCCATCGTATTTTCAACGGTGTTTTCTTTTTGGTCTCTCTGGTGTGTTATGATGACAAAAATAAATATAAACAAGTAATCAGTAAGCATATATTTTTGACCGTATGAAAACACAAACCTAACTTTATGTAAAAAAGAAACACCCTAATCACGAAGTGTATAGCTGTGTCTCACGAGTATACTTTATGAAGAAATCAATCTCTTTAGACTTAGGATTGGCTTTGAAAATTAGTTTGGATGTTGAAAATTGATTTTGTCACACCAAATTGTGATTGGAGTATTTTTTTTCCCTTTTCAAAGTTAATTTTACGTTGAATAGAAATATTTTTGGGAAAAGTGAATATACATATATATATATATATATATATAAGGGATTTATTTAATTCAATAGTTCATTTTTTACATCAAATTTTAATGATGCAATTGTTAAATTAAAAATTTGTGATGCATAAATCAAGTTTGTAAGTTTTTAAAAAATTTGAAAACTATTTAATATTTTGTTTAATTAATTAAAATTAATATATAAAATATTTACATAATTATTCGTCAATTTGAATTAAAGTAATGAAGTATTAAATAGTTTTTAAAAAATTTTAAAATTCGCATACTTGATATATATATTAAAAACTTTTGATTTAATGATTAGATCGCATTTACTCTAGAAATACGTTTATTTAGACTTACTTCATTCAATAACTCATGTTCTATATTAAATTTCAACGATTCAATCGTTGAATTTAAAGTTATTAATGCGTAGATCAAGTTTGTAAATTTAAAAAAAATTAAAAAATTATTTAATACTTTGTTTCATTAATTCAAATCACTGTATAAAATAATTTTATGATTATCCATCAATCTAAATTAATGAAATAAACTATCAAATAGTTTTCAATTTTTTTTAAAAATTTGTAAACTTGATCTATTCATTAACAATTTTTAATTCAATGGTTGGATCGTTAAAATTTAATGTAAAACAGAAATTATTGAACGAAGTAAATACTTATTCTTAGAATAAACAGATCTCTATATATATATATATATATATATATATATATATATAGATATATGTATATATCCTTTAGTTGGTTTAGTCCATTGCCACCCCTCCGATGCGTGTTGGTTCAAGTAGCAAGAAGTTTGGTTCTTCTTATAATATTTATTTAACTATTTTATAGAGTTAAAAATATTTGATATAATTTAGATCTAAATATTTTTAGTACCTTAAATTTGAGATATATAATTTTTTGATTCCTCAAACTTAAAATTTGCGTTTTTAGTCCCTACAACTTAAAAAAATATATATTATTTTAATCTCTTAAATTTAAAATTAGTATTTTTAGTTTTCAAAATATCAAAAATTAATATTTTAGTCATTCACAATTTGTCACTATCAATATAAACTTATGATATTAGTGACTAAAATAATATTTTTTTTAAAATTACATGGACTAAAAATTTAAATTTAAATTTAAATTTGAGGGAGCAAGATAGTAATTCTTGATATTTTTGAGACTAATAACACAAGTTTTAAACTTAGGAGATCAAGAAAATATAAACTCTCTAAATTTAAAAGACTGAAAAGATAATTAAACCTGCAATTTATTATCAAAGTAAACAATAAATATAAAGTAACATAATAGGGTATATTTATATATCTTTTTATTTTGTAGACATAAATATATTTTTATGTAATTATAGTTTTATGTAGAAAATGAAAAAAAAAACTCATACTTCAAATATATGTAATTAAAACTTGCTATGAGTTGGAAATAGATAATTAAATGAATATTAGTTTAATAATAAAGTGAAGCAAATATTAAGATACCTATATTTTAAAACTACTAATTTTTTTTTATATATAAAGTAATTTGATTTGATTTATTTTCATTAAAAATATATATGACATAATTATTTATTTTTTAGTAGAAATATATACTACAAAATACGTTCTTAATACTATAGTATAATATATATATATATATATATATATATAATTGATTAATATTTGTTAAACAAGTACTTACTCTAAATAGAACAGGTGATGAGAGTTATTATGCGTCTCGCCCTGTTATTAATCTTAGTTTTGTGTCTTTAATTAATTTTAAACTCATACCATTTTTTTAAAAGATTAAGTATGTTATTGAAAATAAAAAATAAATTGTATAACACTAAAGGAGAACCCCAAGCGTGTGGTTCAGTGGTAGGGGTTGGTCCACGCTTAATCAAGGTCAGGGGTTCGAATCATGCCTTGTGTATGTAGCCGCGTTAAATCTTGGGGCCAGCTATCCCATCCTTTGAGTTGTCTCCAACGTAGTAATTCGAATCATGCCTTGTGTATATAGCCGCGTTAAATCTTGGGGCCAGCTATCCCATCCTTTGAGTTGTCTCCAACGTAGTAATTCGAATCATGCCTTGTGTATATAGCCGCGTTAAATCTTGGGGCCAGCTATCCCATCCTTTGAGTTGTCTCCAACGTAGTAATTCGAATCATGCCTTGTGTATATAGCCGCGTTAAATCTTGGGGCCAGCTATCCCATCCTTTGAGGTGTCTCCAACGTAGTAATGAGATTAGTCACTGCTGTCGGTCCTGGATACTCCAGGGACGAACCAAAAAAAAAAAGGAGGAATTTTAATTATGCAAATAAATAATATTTTTAAAAGAAATAAAAAAAATTACAATAAATCTTCAAGTATTTAAAAAGTGAGTTTTGTCATCCACTTTTATTTAAACATGATCGCCTTTTCTGTATAAAGATATTTGTGATTTTAAAAGAAAAATAAATTATAAGTTCTAACGTCACTTTAAATAACATATAAAATTACAGTTACAATCTAATAATATAAATTCATTTATTAAATACTATTATTTTAACTAATCAACCTTATAAATTGCTTTTAAAAAAAATAAATTAATCAAACAATAATTTAAATCACATGGAAAAATATTTAGAAACTTAACTTATAAATATATGATACTCAATGACAATAACAAAGTTTAAATTTAAAATTTTACACTTATGCAATTTATCTAGACAAATTTCTACAGAAATATACTTATGGAAAAAAATTTGAAATAAATGCATAAGTTTAAATTAACTTGTACATAGGTTAAATTAAGATTTTCTAAAAGCTAATAGGAAAAAACTTCTATAATTATATAATATATAAGCTAATTTTATCTTATTGATAAACTAATTTTATTTTTCCTTTCCCTTTTTCTTTTCAAGAAGTGCTTATAGATATTTTTTTTTCAAATTTTGTTTAAACTTTTTTTTCCTATAAGCTTTTTAAAAAAAATGTTGTGTTTGTCTAAACTTCTTTTTTGAAATAAGTAATCTTTATTTTATTTTTTTAAGAAACAACTATTCTATCTACTTCTAAAAGAATTATTTTTTTAAAAAATAAGAAACACTTCTTTTTAGTTTAAACAAATGAATCCATACTCATATTTAACCTTTATCACTAAATTGACTTTTGTGGTTCAAAGCAAAAAAGACTATCAAACACTATTTTTCAATAATGAGTTCAAGAGTGTGTTTGGAAAAACGGTAAAATTTAAATTATTACAATAAATAATTATGTGTATAATTAATTATTGTTATAATCAATTATAAAGAGAATGGATTTTTGTTTAAATAAATTTGCTGAAAACTTTGAGATATTTAATTTCTTTTGGATAAAAAAAAACTTTTA